ATAAGCAAAAAGAGGAGAATCCATTAGGCTTGGGGAGGGCATATCCCTTGTCCCTTAGGGAGAGTCCCCTACTGAAAGGGGAAGGGAAGAACCAGAGATGGGTAATTGAGAAATGAAAGATAGAGACCAGGCAGAGATACCCATGAGAGTTCATCTGTCAGAGCCCACAAATAAGGGCCATCTGTCTATAGGAGAAAGAAGCCAAATAGGCTTGGGTTATGGGACTTTTATGGGGAAGACTCAGGAATCAGAACCAGGCAGATCCTAATGGGGCGGTTAGGGGTTGGGTTGGTACGAGGGAGTGGTGAGCCTTTCTTAGAAACAAATGTCCTTGGGCAGGAAAGTGAAACTTTTTCCTTAAAATGGCAGCTGTCACTCAAGATGGATAAGTAAAGACCTTATATTCCTCCATTTTTTTTTTAATTGGGCTCCCTAGGGAACGGGGACATAAGTCAATCTTTTGTAACTGCTTCCTGCTGGGAATGGGTGGTGTTTGAGTCCCTCATTAGGGGCACAGGAATGATGACGGTTGAGTGGAGGTGGAACGCTGTCCCTGGCAGCCCAATTTTGGAGAGGGATTGGTATTCCTGTAACAAATCTGGTTTATAGTTTGGTTAGAGAGTTTAGTGACACAGGGGCAAGCATTAACAGAAGGCCTACGATCAGGAGACGGCTCAGGAAAGGACGTGGCCACTGGAGAAGAAGGTTACTTAGCTGCCATCCTTTAGCAGAGGAGAGCTGTTGTTTTTGATGTTCAAGTTCTTGTTGGAGTTGTTTTATCTTGTTCTTTACTATACCAGATTGATTGACATAAAAATAGCATTCCTTCTGTAGGCACAGACTTTTTTGGCCATAAGAAGATCCAGGCCCCTTCGATTCTGCAGAACCACAGCAGCTAAAAAAAATCAAGCTGGGATTGTATGATTAGTATGGTTTGAGCAAGTTGCTGTAATTCCTGGTAATAGCAACTCTGGGAGGTGAGTGTAAAATGAGGGAGGAGGACAAAAATGAAAAAGGAAAGGATGGTACTTGTGGTTCTGCAGTGTCCTCGTGGATCTCAGAGACCAAAGAAAGATCGGGGGTTTCGGTCTTGGAGAAATGCAATTTGAGAGGGCCTGTGGGTGTCACTGTATAAAAGGGCATAGAAAACCATTTTCACCATAGACTGAGTGAGATGTAGGGATGCTAGGTCCTTAGCCAAAGCCTGTTCTCAGAACCCTTGGGGGAGAACGGTCCATGTCAGCTGAGTAGAGTTGTATGACTCAGGGTCTGCCCATGTAAAGGCAAAAATGTCTTGAGAGTCAGAATGGAGGGAAATATAGAAGAAGGCATCTTTCAGATCTAGCCCTGAGAAGTAAGAGGTCCCAGAAGGAATGGTGGAGAGAAGGGCCTAAGGATGGATTACCACGGGATGGACTGGGATGACCAAGGAGTTGGTGGAACAGAGGGCTTGGACCAAGCAGTTGAAACCATTGGGCTTTTTTACTGCCAAGATGGGGGTGTCATAAGGGGAATGAGTAGGTCTAAGAGAACTCTTTCACAAGAAGTCTTAGAATGATAGATTGTAAGCCTAGGAGAGAGAGTGGGTATTGTGATTTGGCCAGAAAATAGAGGGGGGTTTTGAGACGGATGTGAATGAGCTTGTGGTGTGAAGCGACAGAAGGACTTGAAACATCCCAGACAGTAGGGTCCACCTTGGAAGGGGGTAATGGGAAGGCAATGGCAGATGGAATAGGGGATGATCTAAGGTAAGGGTGAGGATCAGGGGAGTAGCAGGTGAGTCTGGATGGAAGCATGTATGTGGGGAGAAGGAAAACATAGCCCCCAACTTTGTGAGAATGTCCCTTCCCATAAGGGAAACAGGGCACTGTGGAATGAGCAAAAAGGAGTGGGTAAAAATTAGACACCAAAATCGCAAACAAGGCTGGGTGTCTAGGGTTTTTAAGGTTTACCCTCTACCCTGACAATAGAGATCATAGAGCGAGTAGTAGGCCCCCAGAACTCCATGTGTACTGAATATGTAGCCCCAGTGTCTAGGAGGAAGGAGACCGGCCTACCTGAAATATGCAGAGTGACCCTGGGTTCCCACAAAGAGTAGTGGTCGGGTGCTGGGGACCTGGGCTTCCTCAGTCCTCTGCAGCCAGTCCTAAGAGTTGGAAAGGGGAACCAGCAGGGGCAGATGGCTGGGGGCCAGTATGGGCTCAGGGACAGTCAACGGCCCAGAGTCCCTCCTGATGGCATTTAGGACAAGGGCCCAGAGGCTTGCGAGGCTTGGGACATGTATGAGCCCAGTGACCCATCTGACCACATTTAACACAGGGTCCAGGTGGTCCTGAGGGACCCTTCCGTGGGCCAGTGGAACCAGGGACAGATGCTGCTCAAGCAAGCAACTGATATTTCTGCTTCTGGCTCTTCTTGTCTCTCCCGTTACATACCTTAAAGGCCACTCCCAGAACCTCAGCTTGGGGAGTTAGGGGCCACCTCTTGAGGCACCTTAGTTTGGCCTTAATATCAGGGAAACTCTGGGAGAAGAAGTGGGTCATTAGTAGTTGTCTCCCATCTGGAATCTCAGGGTCCAGATTAATAAAGCCTTGGTCAGGCAGTCTGAAAATGCTGAAGGGTTTTCATTCTTATCTTGGATGATTTCCTGGAGCTTTTCATAACTGATAGCCTTATGGGCTGCCTTGCTCAGTCCTGCCATGAGGCACGTAATGAAGTGGTTTCTACTAGTTACTCCTTCTGGGGAATTATCAATCCCAATTGGGGTCCCAATCAGGGACTGCTTCAGTGCCAGTCGGATGGGCAGGGGAGGTCTGATGTAGCTCATCAACACGATTTCTAGCTTGCTCCCCAACTCGCCTGCGCTCCTCAGGCAGGAGGATGTTAGACAAGATCATATGGACAGGTTGGGCAGCAGCAGCCTGTGAGCGTGTGGAAGAGGATAGAAGAGCAGAGGGGCCGAGGGGACAGTAGCTGCATCAGCTTCATCAAAAAGAGAATTGTGGTATGGCAGGGGCTCATCTGCTGGGTTAGAGAGTCCTGGGTAGGATCTTCTGTCCCTTTGAAAGCAGGCGTAGGGGAGGAGAGAGGTAAGAGGACTTATGTGGGAGAGCAAGAGTTGCAGAGAGAGGGCTTAGAATTTACAGAGGAGAAAGTCTGAACATATGATATTCTCCTTCCATTTTCCTGGATGCTCACAATAGTTGAAAAGATCCCTGATAATATTGGGATCTAGAGTGCCATTAGGTGTCCATTTAGAGTCGTTATCCAAAGGATATTGAAGCCTGTTCAGATTTCACAAGCAGATAAGTTTGGGGGGGGGTTAGGTCTGGGGTAAGAGAGACCCTCGGTTAGCCAGGAGGCAGCCTAGGAGACTATGGGAGGGAATGGATGAAGAGTCGCCCATGGTGAGACATAGGAGGTGAGGTTAGAGGTGGAACATCATCCAGTCTTTAAGATCACCTAGTGGAGGGGTGGGTTATGCTCAGGGAGCCGTCACCACCCCTGGGAAAGTGTCAGGGCAGGAGCGGTAGAGCAACTTGGGCACCAGGCGGGGACGATGTAGTAGGGGCAGAAGCCGATAAGATCAACCGAAGGCTGAGAGGTAGTCTCACCAGGAACAACTCCCATCACCCTTGGTGGTTTTTGTTCAAAACACAGGACCCAAATAAGTGACCACTTATAGACCCAATCAACAGTAGGGATCAACCACATCTGTGAAAGCTGTGGCTGGGCTGCCCCTGACCACATGGTAACCCTGGGAATGCTGGACATTCAATGGTCACTGCCCAGGACCCGTAGGTCGTGTAGGGCAACAGGAGACAGGAGTCTTACCTGGCAGGTCCGGTGGTGGGTGCAGAGAGGGCATTTGGCAGAATGGAGGGCCTGGTCCCACCATGGAATCTAGATCGGAGCCTGGGGATGCTCAGTGACCCTCAAAGAGAGGAGGGGGGCACGCCAGGGAGCCCAATCCCCAGGTTCAGCACCAAAATAAAGGGAATGGAAGGAACGAGAGACAGGTAAGCGAGAAATGAAAGACGGACACCAGGCAGAGACACACACGAGAGTTTATCCCTCAGAGCTGACAAAGAAAGGCCATCTCTCTGCAGCAGAGGACAAACAGGCTTGGGTTCCGGGACTTTCATGGAACAGGCTCAGGAATCAGAGCCAGTCGGGTCCTAATGCAGGCACTTAGGGGCTGTGTTGGTAGGAGGGAGTGGTGAGCCTTTCTCAGAAAGGCCCTTGGGCAGGAAAGCGAAACTTTTTCCCTAAAATGGCATCTGTCACTTAAGATGGCCATCCAGATGCTAAGCAAGGACTTTTAACCACCTCACACACACACACACACACACACACACACACACACACACACACACACGCCCAGCCCAGGGCAGAACTGGGCAGGGGTTCTGGTGGCAGGACTAGTGTCCCTCATCTTTGGTTGTTATCAGTTGAGAAGGCTGAGGCTCACCTTTGGTTGTCCCTGAGAGGCAAGAACAGGTTCCAAAGCCAGGGAAAGCTTCTCCCCCATTTTCAGGGTCTGTATCTTAAAAAGCCTGAGGTGCTCTTGGAGGGCCCATGGTAACCCTATCCTGTAAACCCTAGGCTAGCACAGGGTGCCATCCTATTCATTCCACTCTTACCTGATTGTGATTTTTTTTTACATTATATTTTAAGCAAAAGTAAGAAGTGACGTACATAAAGAAGCAACCAGAGAATAATCAAACTATACTGCTTTTCACCTCTCTTAGAGTCTGCGAAGGACCAAATGAACGAAGTTTTATAAGCAAAAGGTTGTGGGAAAGAGATGAAGAACTTAATCAGACAGAGGTTTAATTAAAAACTAATGAAGTGAGGAAACTAGGCTTACCCAAGATGAAAATTATTTCATTGTATGTTAGCCTGTTTGTTCATTATCTAAGCTAGTATTTTCAACTGACTCATATGCATCTAGAGAAAAATAATACTTTATTTAGCAAAATTAATCATGTGTACTCCAACCCATATCTATTTACACCCATGCATTCATTCATTTCTCATTACCGAACAGGAAAATTCAGGGAATTTGTGAATGCTGCGTGGGATTTGACACTGCTAAATATGAATATTTACAATGGAAATTAACCAAAAACAGCAAAGCATTAGACTTGAAAGGATCCATACACTTTAAGAATCCCATTTTAGGCCTGGAGAAAAAAAAAAAAAACAACTTGAAATTGCAGAAAATTTTCCCTATTGTTTCTGTCTTCCACCACATGATGAAGGGACCATTTCCTCTCCCTTAAATGCAGCAGGCACTGCTTCTGCACATCTGGGCTCGATAAATGGGAGTCTGCCTCATCCTGGGAAGACCTTCTCAGTTGGCCATTGGATTCAATTGCAGTCATTCTTCAAAGCAGAAGCCAAAGAGCACCTCAAGTGCAAGACATCCTCCATCCCATGCTCTTTAGTAGAATCAGTCCTTCCCACTGCTCAGAGTGTGGTGGAACTGGCACTGACTTGGCATGTTGATTCTCTGCTCTCTGGCTGGGTATTTTGGATTTGGATCCCACCGTTTTTTGTTCTATAAAATATAGACAGCAACTGAATATAATTCATGAGTTTCTTCTGAGATTTAAATAGCCAAGAAAAGAAATGAATGAAGAATTTAGAAACAATGCCCAAGACCCCTAAGTGCTTCCAGAATGCTGCCTATTATTACAGCACATCTTTATTGGAGCACAACATATAAACAGTTATATAAATTATTTATTAGCTTATCAGAACCTTACCTTTTCCCCCCAATTCTCCAATCTTCATAGCATAATAAGTAACTCTTTGTTAAAGTGCAATATAGTGACCCTAAATTTTATACAAATATCTAAAATTTTACAGTATAATGAATCATCTCTTTTATGAGTTACTTTTATAAAGCAACTGCAAACAGATAATTTTACCAAAATAAAAATTAAAAGTGTTCAAAATTCAAGGGCCTAAAGAAATGGTCTGAATTAACAAAAGTTTCATTGCATAATGGTTTTGTTAAAGAGTAATGATGTGTCTATCCCTAACTGATTAATGGTGGTTCTAAATTATGCACTATATTGGATAAGCCAATATCCTTTCCCACAAGGATTTTCTGCTGTTATCTTTTATATTGGTCATAACTTACAACATTTTAAATAAATTATTTCAACCAAAGTACCTTGGACATATATATTATAAAAATTTTCTCATTTTCTTAGCAGGAATAAAAGGTGCGACACTGATATTCTCCAAACTTCCTGACTGAGGAGTGAAGTACCATCTGATGGTGGACAGTATGTTACTTTTCAATAATAGGATGACTCATTTAGAAAAGTCTTAGATAATTAAGCAATGAGTAATTGAAGTACTAGAAATCCCAGTTATATGGACAGTTATGTTCCATGTTAATATAACACAAAAATGTTCAGCTATTTATCCATGCAATACATACACATAAAAGCAGCCATTGTCTGCACATAGCAGAGTAAATGGCAAAAATATCCCAGTGTTTTAGAGGAAATAAAAAGGACACCATCCAGTTATCTCTAACAAATGGGAGAGGAACTGAGAAGTTTAAATTAAGCCACAGCATCATGCAAGAGTCCTTTGCATGATTGACACAAATTATTTTATTCTTGGACCAAATGTGTTACTAAGGAAGGAGAAGGCTAAGAGCATTCTGCTCCTACCTCCTCCCGATTCAGCAACTACTGCTCTATTTCAAAGAAGGAGGGTTGCATGTTTTACATTCATCGTAAAGTCACTCCAACTTTTATCTACTGTGACAGTGGCATGCTTTTCCTCGATCAGGACAGAATCTGGTGAAACAGAAACATATGCATCCATATTTATCTGTCTCTAGTAGGGAATGAGACATTTCTCCACCTGAGCTAATTACTTTGTTGTCAAAATATTACCTGAAGCAACTGAAGAAAATTGGTAGTGCTTTACACTGCCTGGTTTCCCCACTCTTACAGATAAGAAGTCTTGAGCCTTCCCTCTCTGGGTTGGTCTTCCTCTTTCTAAGTAGAAAATCTCCATCACTGCTAACCTGGTATTGTGATGACTAATTATGAGGACTAAAAATACTTTGAGATGCAAAGAAATGAAGAAAAATTCGGCCCTCTTGGCCTTCTCATAGTAAGAGCAACTTCTTAGTGGGGAAAGACCTTAAAAATATTGCTGAGGTTCAAGTTCAGTGGACTCCCTCCAAGAAGGACTCCAATGATCCTGAATATGAGTTTATGTGATTTTCATCTCTCTCTCTCTCTCTCTCTCTCTCCTTTTTCAAAAAGAAAGAGAAAGAGAGAGAGAGAAAAATAGGAAAAGTACACATGAACCTCACTATTCCGCAAGGAAGCATGAGCCTCTTCAATACTTGATATAAGAGAGTTAGTTGCATGTATGTGTGGAAACCAGTGAGTCTGGATGTCACTTTCTGGGGACATTGAAGAAACACAGTATGTTTCATCTCAGGATATGGTGACAGATATGATCCTAAAGAAATAATTCCTCAGGGTACTGCAGAAACTGAGCTAGTGTCCAGGCATCTCAGTCGACTTTGGGTAGAGAGATCTCTGGGGGTCAGTGAGGTGCCTCCTGATGTCAGAGTCAGCAAGTGCTGTTGAAGGAGAGCCCTGAATTTCAGCAGGGAATACCTTCTCCAGAAAGTTAGCCAGCAAGGCCATAATGTGATGATGTTATAATGAAGAGAGAGGTTTGACCCTCCCTAAAGCATTGTCTAAAATTCTAGACTTAGAGAGGCACAATTTTGAATTCTTGAAGAGACATCCCTGTGTTTACTGAAAGCTTCAACTTACATTTATTTTGTTTTGTCCCCTGAGTTTTCTACAAAAATATAATATGATTGAAGGTAGCTACACAAATATCTTTTTTCATAAAATCCACTTTTATAATGGCCTATTTCTAAAACTACTACAAAGAAAATTGCCTTTCCCCCATATTCATTCCTTAATGGTATTAAAACAATTATATACTGCTGTTATTATACATGTCAACATTAAAGATTTTATACTTTGGTACATGGTTCCTATTAAAAGCTACATTATAAGAAAAAAAGTCACTATCCTGTGATATAGAACTTGATATTTCTCTTAGCAATGTAAAAATGCAGTTGGTTGAATAAAATGTTTGATTCTCAAATCACCATGAGGATCTAAGAAAGCTTACATTAAACTCTTCCTCGAGATAAAGCATCATAAGTTTCACTGCCTTATTCTACTTACTCTCTGGTGCAAATCAGATACAGAATGTACAGAATATTTCAGGACATGAATAGTACATGGTCCATAATTCACAGGTTATCACTTGTATCAAAATAAGCTATGTGAAGACTTTAGCAACTATCATGTCGAGGAGTGAGTCCTAGAATGGCTTAGTTCTCTGCTTTGGGGCCTCTGCTAAGCGAAGGCCATGTTTTGCAGGAGGGCTCCTTATCCCCTGGCAAGTGTTCTAAAGCAAGGCAGGCTGCAAAGCCACCCTGTGATAGAGGACCCCAGAGGAGATGCTTTCCAAGCAACGACGGGAAAACCTATCGCATGCACATCTATTTTAACAGAAATAAAACCCAGCTTCCAAAGACCTCTTCAGTGCAAGGTGTTCTAGGGTACCTCCAGCTAGCTCTAAATGGATCACCCCTCTGAGGCTCCCTCAGGACTCTCTTTCCACATCAGTAGAATCCACGCTTCTTCTCACCATAATCTCAGTTTTCAGCATGGCACAGATACTGAACAATTTGTTCTTACAAATTACACTCTGCCTTGATCCAAGGGTGGTGAATAAAAGATGTTTTAATTAAGATGATTATAAAATAAATTAAAAAGTAACAACAAGTCAAAGTAGAGGGAACAAAACACTATGTAAGCAAAACAGTGCCTTTTAGGAGTTCCCAGAATGACTAAATTAGCAGAAAACTGGAGGCATTCATTTTTTTTCAACAGTATTTACATGTTTATTTACATTTTTTCACACTGATGAACAATGTGTTTTATGTAGACTCCCCATTAGAATTTCACTGATTCCTTCTACAAACAATGGACTTATTTCTTATGCAGATTGCATCTTGTTTAAAAAGTTATTTTCCTTCTTCTATGATAAAGTATCAACCAATTATTCCAAAATGTTCTATAACCTTGATACTAATGAGTTGATATTTCCTACTCTAACTGGAAACAAATGTGTCATTTTAGACATTGTGGTTTTACTCATTTGATTCATCTATTTATATACCTCTGCAGCATGTGAAAAAATTGAACACATCTCTCCTGCTAAAACTTTCTCCCTAGGTCTATGTCATGTTTGCCCAGTTCTTCTAACATTCTGGCCACTCGAGCTGAACTGGAGGGAATGTGTATAGCCAAGAGTCTAGACAGGAGAGATGGGAGAGGCTGGTACCAAGGATGGGAGCAAGAAGTTCTGGTGTCCACGGCACAGTGACTACAGATAATGGCCATGTTCTGTATATTTCAGAATAGTTAAAGGAAGGGATTTGGAATGCTTTCACTGTAAAGAAATGGTAAATGTTTGAGGAGACAGATGTTTATTTAGACTCAGCCACGGCACAATGTAGCCACATGTCAAAACATCACATTGTAACTCATCAATGTGCAGAATTTTTGTGGGATCAGTTAAAAATAGTCTTGATAACAAAGCAATCAGCCACAGGATGTAGCATATAGAAGGTAGGTGTGTAGTAACTGGAATAAAGAAAGAGAGAGAGAGAGAGAGAGAGAGAGAGAGAGAGAGAGATGGATGGAGGGATGGAGGAAGAAGGGTGGGTGAGAAAGGAGGGGGGAGGAAGGAAGAGAGGGATGAGGGAGGGGAAGGGAGGAAGTAAAGGAGGAAGAAATGAAGGAAAGGGAGAAAAGGAAAAAGAGGGGAAGTGAAAAAAGGCAGAAGAAAGGAAAGGAAAGACCGAGGAAGAGTTGGGCACCCACCTCTTTGAAATCCTGAAAAGAACTTAGATAAATTCAGCTTCCAAAGGACTCATGGGGTTTAATCTGGATTTGTGAGAATTGAGCAGACTTGGATTTATTTGGCCTTATCTGGTATTTACTATTCTGTCAGAGGTGCTAGTTATTGCATTTACTAACTCAGCTCCAAATCTTCCTTCTGCTTGGGTTGGGACTCCGCTAACTCCATTCCCCCTTTTCCAGCAGACCCCAAAGGCAGCTGAAACAGAGACAGAATGGCTGGGGAAGGAAGATGGGTTGAGCCTCCTCTGGGCTGCGGCGTGCCGCTCTGCCTGTGACACTCTAGCAATTGTTATTTTTCCTAGAAGCACACTTGGCGCATTGCAGGCTTTTTTCATGTGCTCTCTTTTCATGAGCTGACCCAGAGACATCATCTCTGTGCCAGAAGTAGCACACCTGCCTAAAACCCCCCTGCAGAGGTCTTGGGGTTTATCTCCCTACGTCTTCTTCCATGGTCTCCTCCACCCAACAGGAGGTGGCACATTCTGCATTTACTCACTCTACTAATTCAGCATTCCATTTCTGCTGTTTTAGTTTTCCATGATTTATTTAGTCCATCACATAGGATCAGCTCTGCTAAGAACTAGGTGTGGCTTCTGCTCTCCAGCACCACCCTGGTTCCCTGCATTGCTGACATCACCCACCCCACATAAGCAAGCCCTCTAGAATCCTGTGTTTGCTAAAAGATGCACCAGAGAATAGGGGACAAACACTTTGAGAGTCTCAGGTTGGCCACATCAGTGAGGATTTAAGGGCCCTGCAGCTCATTATTTGGAATGGCAGATTCTACAGTTTGAGAAGAATATGTTCCAGATTAGGATACTAGGCATGTTTTCCTTCAACCTCCCCACGCCAAATGCTGCAATGCAGAGTTCTCGAGTTTCAGAGCCTCCTACAACAGAGACAGATCCATAAACATTCTCCATGGCTTAATGGAAACCTGAGACATAAAGAGACTGTGCACCTGGAGGTGCTTGTTGTGGGGTAAGAGCTGTCTCAGCTGCAAGATCACCAGGCATTGCCACCTTATAGTTCCAAACAATAAAAGAGTCTGAATTTCAACCATGAGGATCCACAGAACACAAGAATTAAATGAATATCTCAGAGCCTATGCCATCTGACTCTTCTGGACTGGCATCTCTCTTGGATCACCTCCACTATTTATGGGGAAAGTGGGGAGGGTGGAGGGTCCCCCCACAACAATCTGATGGAAACAGAAATGACTGAGCCTTATTTGTGAATGGGTCAACGTGAAATACTGCTGTGGACTGAAATGGATGGTGATGAAAATGCAAGTCCATTCCTGGGTAGCCCTGAGAAACACTGTGCAGGGATCTGGCTGATGGGCAGAGCTGCAAGAGGGTCTGCAATAAGAGCACCTTCAAACTGCTAGCCAGAAACTGATGTTCTGGAAGGCAAGAGGGAGTAATACTGCAAGAGCAAGGCAGGGTCATCTGTGAGGAGAACTTTGTTCAGAGCCATAGGATCAGGTGCGATTCATGTAGACCTTTGTGTCTCACATCAGTGTCAAAAAAAGAACGCTGGACACTGGATACACAAAATCACCTCTCCACTTGTATCAGCCAGCTCTTATCATGGCCACATCAGGGTCCAGGGATGCAGTAATCATGGAGGTGAGGATGCAGTCTACATATGGCACAATCAAGAGGAGGTGTCTGTCTCCTAGATCTCTGCCGCTCTCTCAAGGCTTGTATTCAGGGAAACTTTATTTTATTTAGTAATAGCCCCAAAGCACAAGAGTATTGATGCTAACATCCAGATATGCCAAAGAGAAGCCAAAAAGTAATTCCTTTAAGTGAAAAGAGGAAAGTTCTTTACTTAATAAGGATAGAATAAAAAATTATATGCTAAAATTGCTAAGATCTACAGGAATAAAAATAAGTTTTCTATCCATACATTTGTAAAACAAAAAAGAAAGAAAAGAAATTCAACTGTATATATATATATATACAGTTGAATTTATATGTGTATATATATATACACACACACACAGGGAAAAGCATATCATAATATAGGATTCATTATTATCTGTGGTTTCAGACACCCACTGGGGATGTTGTAATGTGTCCTTGTGGATACTGCATGTAATTAACTTACTGGCACAGTGTGTCCTACCACCAAGAAATCCTCTATTGTCACAGAAGTGACAATGTCACATGAACATGCAACCCCTTGGTTTTCTTGCACACTACATCATAAGGAAGCTGCCAATCTCCAGAACACTGGAACAGCCTCTCACAACTTGGATCAAGAGATCAACCCTGTTAGGCTGGGGTGCTGCCATTCAAGACACAGTATAAGCTGAACGAACTGCATTATACTGACTCTCTATCCCTTGAGGACTCAAATACAGAGGAACAAGAAAGAACAATTAGGAGTAGGCCTTCTCATTAATTATTAATGACCCACTTGGGGAAATTTGTGCTCTCTCTTCCCACAATTCTAAGGCATGCCTTCCATTTCATGATCCACTGTTAGAACCAGAGAAGAAGCAGATCAACCTGGGATCATTTTCTAAGCTGCAATGAAGGTTTGCTCTCTTATTTTAACCTCTTTCATGTCTTCGAGAGTTATGTGATGGTGTGTAATGTATATTTGCCTGAGCACATATAAAACATAGCAGATTCCTAGATTTTAAGATCATGTATGCTGTCTGTGGCTCACATAATTTTGCCTCTTAGAGACCCTAACTACAATTGCACTCTTAGTAAATGTTTGTTGAAGTAATGTCTCTTTTCCTAAACAGAGTGATTTTTTTTTAAATGCCTTTTAGGTTGAACATAGGGTTTCTACCTGAGGTGAAGGAATAAAGCAAAAATAAGTTAGGCTATTAACAGTGCAGTCATGCTAGCACATTCCACGTGGATACTGAGCCACCTTGTATACCTCCGTGATTCTTGCTTTCCTGTTATGTCCTTCAGGGATTCTTTCCAACAAACAGGGTGCTTTGCTTAATGGCTCCTCCTTGATTGTGTCTCCTGAATTGTGCTGCCCAGCTGTCACCTGTAAAGAAAGGTATCATTTGTCTCACAATAAAATAGAATATAAACCATCGAAATAGCATTCAACCATTCATGTGTAATTTAAGCAAAACCACCGCCCCCCTCAAAAATGAAACAATCCCAAGACATTTGGGCCTAAATTTTCTTACAGCAAACTTATTTTTTTAAAAAAAAAAAACATCATTTCACCAAAAGAAGTCTGTGGGTAAAAGGATACTTTTCCACCATGAGTGTCATCTTGTTGTCTATCGAAGGCTCAGACAGTCTAAGCCCATCTTAATCTTTTGATCTAGTAAATTCAGAAGGACCTATTAGTGTGTCTACCCCAAACAGGCAAGGCTATGTAGATTTGAAGAAACACCCCTGACCTGTGATCTCCTTCCTTATAGTGTTCTTTTCCACCTTTCAGAGACTTCACGCTGGTTTTGACACGAACCTGGAATGAAAACACGATGTCAGTAACGTGAACATCACTGTTAATTCTCAGGACTTTCAAATAGAGAACCAGATCAGGCACAAGAGGGCAGAAAAATGCTGCCATTTGTTGTATTAAATTGGCCATGTTGCAAAATTTGAATTCTTACCCTTCTTTTTGGCCCACCAAAGAAAAGTCAAAGATATCAATTAAAATATCTAAACATGAGAGGGGGATTTAGAAGATAAGCACGAACACAATCTGTTCTAGTGTGAAACAGGTCCTCCTTAAAGGGACATCATGCTAAATAGGGTGGCTTGACAAGCAGAAAGTAGGACACAGTGAACAGTGAGATCACTCGGTCAGGAAATGTCAGGTGGAGTGTGGGAAAGTTTATATGCTACAGCGAGCAGGTGATGGTGTATCTGACACATTTAAAGTATATATTTAAGATTGAGGAACACTTTGATCATACCCTGAAATGTCAGCTGTGTACAGTTCCTCCTAACCTTTTAAAAACGTACGCATAGAGGTCTTAAATTCTCCCTCGTGCAACAGAAATAGGAGTTGTAATTCTGCCTTGTCTGGAAATAATGAAACTTTAACACACTAGGGGTTCCTTCCTCCAGCCTCTTTTACCTTTAATACAAAAAAAAAAAAAAGAGAGAGAGAGAGAACTTCTTTGGGTATAAAATTACAACTTTGGGGAGAGTAATAGGGATTAGCTCTTTCATTAGGCATACAAGATTTTTAAACCATTAAATGTTAAAGAAATGGTCATTTATTCTCAAAACTCAGCCTCCGTTCTATCAAGGAAATAACTTTGGCAGAATGAAACACACACACAAAGAAAAAAGAAAAGAATGTGAATATCTGAAAAGCAAATGTAATCACACTCCCATGTTGAGCACATAAACACTGCTTTGCTTGCCGAAGAGAAAGTAGGTCATTGTATTACTGTGTTAGGAATGCCACATTAAAACTTCTGTCAATGACCCTTTTAGAAATTATGGAAACCAGATAAGGCTACCAAAAATGGTTAGACCTGTAAAGTCATGAACGATTTATTTATAGGCTATATGGAAGACATTCCCCTTCGAACCCGAAGTTTAAACACTCTACCCATATCTTGCTCCAGTATGTGATCCACTTGCTTCTCCACTGCAAGACTGAGGCGTCTCTGCCTCCTTTTGCTCAGTATTCTATCTTCCGTCGCCTTTCACCCTCCATGTTCCATGCATCGCCCAGACGGTGGAGGCCTGGCCATCCACAGCAAGCATCACTTTGCTTCTCACCTTTGGGAAAAGGTGAGTAATAAGGAAATTCTCCCCACAGGATTCCAGGGAGCTGTGCAGGCAGGTTCTGGTGTGAACTCAACCCCAAGGCCGTGTTCCGCGTGGGGGGGCGGGCGCTGGCAGGGCCTGCTGAACCTATGCTCCATTCTTCTCATCCTTGGTGTCTACCTCCTTAGTTACCGTCTGTCCTTTTAAAATTTCCCATTATCTTTTTCCTTCTGTGGTCTGAAAGGAAGCAGGCCCCATCCGCCTGCCAGACCCTGGATTCCCTTCATTTTGCATAGGGTTTAGAAGCTGTCTGGGAAATGATCCATTTTGCCTGAAGCCTCTGGGCACAATGTTAAGTCTGAGGGGAATTTACATTATTACTTTTATCCACCACTGAAATCAAATATAAGAGAAAAGTCATAGAGCTGCAGCAACAAAGATTGTAAGAAAAGATTGCCAAAAATGAGTTTACATCACTGGAGGAGAGGTTTACATTAGAGTTAGAAGAAATGCTTGAGTGAACCAAAGCCAAAGCAGGTTGTGGAGGGTCCATTATGTTGGTGCTCAAACTCAATGTAAGTGCTGTGGAGCCAGGGCCCGTCTAGATGACTTTGAACGTCCCCTTAACATCCCATTTCTAGGAGCCATCAATCAATCCCTCACAGAAAAATATGAAATGTTCATATCTATAGTCCTCTAAGGTCACTTTGAAATCCATTTGAGTCATCAAAAATATATCAAGGAATGTATTGGAACTAATGCTTTCAACCAACAAAATAGTGAGTTAAATACTTATAGCAACAATACTTGTTTCAATATAAAATTCTTACATTATATCCCCCAATCTACCAGAACTCTAAATGTGGAAACATAGGTTGTCATCAACGTAGAAAAAAAAGCAATGCTTCCTGAACAAAACAAATCAATCTAGACAGGGAAAATGTACATTAAGTATTTCTATTAATTGCCAACTGGAAATCTCAGTTAAGAATAAAAGTCGTGGCTGCTAAATCTTCCATATTCCAAAGTTTTCACAACCATTCTGAAAGGTGCCGTTTTAGCAAAACAGACATTGCAATGCCACTATTCCATCTCTCTGAACTCCCACCTAGAATGAAGAGTCTGTGGGACGCTAGACCGGGGTGGTATTCCCATCCCTAGAAGTTGGGTCAGCGCCCAAACTGCATTAGTGACACTTTTCCTCTTGCCTGAAAATTGTGAACCAGAGAATAGGCAGAGTCCATGCTCCCATCCGGAATCTATAGGGAAAGAAGAAAGGATTTTAAAAGATGATTTGCTGCAAGAGCAAGCTAAGGCTTAGACTAAGAAAACCTAAAAATGGCAGCAGACTTAACAACCTTGTTAGTGACTCTCAAAAGAGAAATAAAGGGTTTAAGGAGACGGAAGGAGCAAGAGGCAATGGGGGGCCTCTCAGTGCTAGGAAAGGAGAGAGGAGGCAACTTCCTCGTCGTCAGCAAGGTGGGGCTGATCACAGAGACAGAGAACCACAGCCAACACAGAAGAGGATGCCCGACTCACTGCGTGTAGGCACAAGTCAATTTATTTTCTATCCCCCATCCCCATCCCAGCCAGAGGGCTGTGATAAGGTGGAGAACTGCCCCACTTTCAATCAGTTGGCAGCTCGATCTGCAAGTCTGACCTTTGTAGATAAAAGATGAAAGTTTTGAGCTTGAAGTTTTAAAATAGACTGATTTAAATGTTCATAGCCCAGATAAAATGTTTTTGTAACTTAAAGTGACTGAAAAGTCAAGAAACCACACAAGGATATTAGAGAAGCACATTACCCAGAGGTAGAGAGGTTTACAACATAGGGGGAATTATTTTCCCTTTATGGGATTAGATGAATGGATAGAGAGATAGAGAGAGAGATAGATAGGAACAAGTCAACGTAGACAAAGAGACACAAGTTAGACCTAATACTCTATGTTGTCTTGGCGTCTAGTGAACTAGGAGTGCCTATGGCTTAACTCTGTCTCCAATGGCCTGTTCCTCTCCCCGTTCTGCTTCTGAAGATAAGGTCTTCTGTGCAATTCTTTTTAGCAAAAGGACCAGGCACAATTGCTGCTTATCCTGGAGCAGAGCACTGCCACTCCCTGCAAGCCTGGGAAACTACAAAAGCAAGCCCATCACTTCCTCCAAGAAGCCAGAGATCAACTTGTCCCTTGGATACCACAAATCCTGCCACCCACAATCCCTGGTTGCCCACTCTGTGCCCAAGTGCACTCTGTACCCCATGGGCCCTCCATGGGTGTGCTGTGTCCTCCTTGCCCAGGCTTTGGACTCATGTGACTATTAACTGCTGTCACTCTGTCCAGTGTTATGTTATATGTCAGCCATTCTCATAACCTCAGGACAGAGAACTGTCCTTTAGCAACAGAGTGGAAAGAAAGCCATGTAAACACCAAGATCACTATTTTTACAGGAAACCCCTAATAGCTCTTCTAAAAACTCTAATTGCAAGCCTTCCTTTTTGCTATAAAGATGCTAGGGAAACAACTTCACTTAATGCCGAGGAATAGAAACGTCATTACCTCAGGTCTCCTCATCGCATGATAGGGAGCCGTAAGATGGTACTGGAGGGCAGGCCCAGGGAAATGCCCTAGATTCAAGGACATGATGAAGATGTGTCTCCCAAATCATGTGTCAAACCTTATTCTCCAGTGCATCAGTGTGGAGAGGGGGAGCCTAAGGGGAGATTTTCAGGTCAAGGGGACTCAACCCGTGTGAATGGATCAGTGCCAACTCAGGCTGTGAGTTTGTCCTCTTGCTCTTCTGTCTTTCATCATGGGATACTACAGTACAGGGACCCTCGCCAGATGTGACCCCCTCGATCTTGGACTTCTGAGCCTCTAGAACTGGAAGCCATAATCCTCTGTCCTTTATAAGTGACCCAGCCTCCAATACTCTGGCAGAGCAGCACCAAAACAAAGAGACTCCTAACTGGGAAAGTCTGAAGACAAGAACCATCGCTCTTGAAGCAGAATGGGATGTTGAACACCAGATGTCAGAGTCCAGTCACAGAGACTGTTGCAACTGAATGGTTCTCAATTACAAATGTGCATGAAGATTACCAGGCGCTTAATAAACACGCAAACTATGTGGAGCTGCCCTCGTACATTCTAACCGTTTGCATCTGCTGTGGGGCCCAGGAGCCCACACATTTTCTAAAAACTTCTAAGTAGTTCTTTGGATAGGTCCACATTATGTCACTATGGAATGGATGTTGAGTCCCAGAAGTTGTATCAGTTGGAGGACTTTTCCCATGGTGCCTCTCTGAGCCTCATATGTTTTCTGTAAAATGAGGATGGTAATAACAGGCAGTGTTGACTTTGTAAATAGAACAAAATTGGGTTTTCACAGATATTCACCTAGATCTAACTCTGAATTTCAACACAGTTTTAACATAGATTATTCCCTGAACTATTGTTGGTGATATTGTTATAAATGTACTCATCGTTGAGAGTGGTAAAGAAAGAGCAAAGAGTCCAGTGGCCCAGAATTGCCACATAAAGTGAGAGATTGACTGATTCTTTTAACATTCCAAATGAGCCCACTAGATTCTTTTAACGCTCTAAATGTGTAAATCCAGGCAGGTAACAAATCCAAAATTTCACTCTGGAATAAACAAAAACAAAACAGTAAATCCACTGGATTGGGAATCAGAAGTTCTGCTTGCTGATCCAGATTGCCACTTATTAATTGATTGTAGGACAGTCTTTTAGCCC